ATATATATTAAAAATTCTATTAGTAATTAAAAATTATATTAGTATATAAAAAAATTATGGCTAGGGGCATAATTCTAATATAAAAAAATTATTTTAATATATAATAATATATATTAAAAATTCTATTAGTAATATAATAATATTTTTTTAAATACTAATATATTAATTTTTTTAGTATATACTAATAGAAAGTATTTATAAAAAAATAATATTAGTATTTAGTATTAAATTAATAGTATAAAATTATGTAATAGGAAAAATTTATATTAGTATAAATTATTAATATATATGTAACGCCTCACTTTTATTTGCCGAAAATCAGAATAAGGTTTTCAAAATTTATTTCAAACATATTTAAGGCGTTACTCATTAATTTTCAAACGACAATACATCAATTCATAAAATAAATCAAACTCCCAAACCGGGATCCATAAATCTATAAATTACCATTTTACCCAAATGGGTTCCCAAAATAAAACGTCAAGTTCTAAGACATGACAATGTCAACGGGGTATCTCCCCAACAGTATCTCAATACTTCATAAATTCTCAAGTTCAAAAATGCGTAAATCGTAAATAGTCATAAAGATAGCGGAAGCAAAATTATTTAATGACCGGTCTCATAGACCGACTACCACTCACTCTACTCCGCCGTCGTGCCTGCCTTGCTTAACCTAAAACGTGAATTTCAGGTGGGGATGAGCACAGTTGAAAATCGTAGTGCTCACCACTATGCAATAATCATTTTCATAACATAAACAGAACTTATGATCACAGCATGTATAAGAATCAATCAAGTATCCCCAAATTTTCATCATAAATTCACAGTGTTCAGACTCATGTGCATATCTATACCAATAGACTACTGCCGGTAGACGCATCGAATGCCCCTCGGGCTTCTATTGAATGCCCCATGGGCTTTACTTCTATGTCCTCCGGTCTTACACATCGAATGCCCTATGGGCTTCTATTGATGCCCAGTCAGTAGGAGTAACCCCTCGGGTTTTCATTTCATAAATACGGGACAACCGTTCGACGGTCGATACAGCTCACATCGAAGGTTACATGATTCGTAAGCATACATTGATCATATACAAGTAAGGTAAACAAGTTATTGCATAGACGATTTTAGAATAACAACCCACCTGGTCGCGAATAAAAGATAACACAAAAGCACGTATAGGCTGCAAGCTCGGCTCGTCAAACACCTACATTAAGTGCAGATGCTATAATCAACATCTGCTATGACTTAAACGAAAATCACAATTATTCTTAGCCGAACTTGATTCGACTAAGTTGTTCGTGAAGTCCTGTGGACGTTGGAACACTTAGACTCGACTCCAAGACTCAACCAATTACACATGGGAGTTCACATAAACCAAAACAAGGATTGAACAAGTCAAACACTCAAATAAACAGATGGCGAATCGATTTACAGTTTTTATTGCAAAAGCCGTATATTCGAAAATACTAGATTTTAATCACAAAAATAGGTTGGTCAGGTTATCATACGAATTTAACTCTAAAATTTAATCAAAATTTCACCTCCCAGAATTTAGCAAAACCACCAATATTCAGCTCCAAACTCAAAGTGTGCTATTTTATAAAATTCGAGCAAGTTTATGGCAAAAATGAACATCAATTAGCAACCAGATCAATTGAATGAATTAATCTATGAAATTTTTATCTAAGGAACCCCAGCATGTACATAGGAGTGTGTAAAAATATCAGCCCTAAACTCCTAACATGCGATTTAATAAAATTGCTACAACATTCAGTTGTTTTAAAATTTTCAACATAACTGAACTTAAATGAACTCCAAAAATTCCAATACTTACACAGCAAATATACCACAAAACATGCACTTCAACCAAAAATCATAATTTTTCAGCATCAGACCAATTTTTAACAATTAAAACAATTTCTGGCAGAAACACAAAATAATTTATTTACCTAAGCTAACAGAATACAAAAATTATGAAAATTTAACACAACCTTTGAAACAGACAGGAGAACATCATGTTCGAATTTCAGAAATTTTTGAGCACTACACAATTAATTATTCAATTAACATGAAACTGACCAGAAATCATTCTAATTTATTAAAATAGCTACAGACCTCCTAAAATCATGAAATTTACACACCAGCTACGAATCATTTATTTATTTAAAAAAAGTATGTGGCAAAAAATAAAAAATAAAAGTTGTGGAAAAAAATAAAACGGCCGGATTCTGAGAATCTGTGTTTCAAAGAAAAACGGATTCTTAGAATCCGTTTTTCGTTAATTCTGATCGAAAAACGGATTTTTAGAATCCGTCTTCCCTTAATGACGTGATTACCCTTAATTAATTCAGCTGAAAACGTGTTATGAAAATTCGTGTTAACTAACACGGATTGTGATAATTCGTTTTACCCATGAACACGGATTTTCATAATCCGTGTTTATTTATTTATTTGTTATAAAAACGGATTCTAAGAATCCGTTTTAATGTATTTTTTTATTTAATTTTTTTAAGTTAGGCTCGACTCTTGGATGTTCACGAACTCGTTTACCAGCGATCGCGTTTATTTTGGCTGAATTTTTATTCTTATCCTTCAATATGAAGGTTTTTTTATAAATTTTGATTTAACATTTTGAACACAAAATAATATTACTTTAATATCAATTCATTCGTCAAATGATAAAATCTAGCATGCATACATACATGAAATACTATATACAAAAAGACAACCACAATTACCGACAAAAAAAAAGTGAACCACAAAATATGTACTCAAAACCATCAAAAACAAATATCTGAAAATCCAGTACAAAAAATGTAAAAAATCAGTAATTCGACCGGATAAATAAATAAAAACAAACAAAAATAAAATTTATATTTGTAGTTAAATAACAAAATCTTACCTTCTTCGTCTTCTTCATTCCCGGCGGGTTCGCGGTCACGGCGTCTTCTCCCTCCACCAACGTGGGGCGCCGGCATAGTTTTTAAACCCGGCCCGGTGATCGACCCGGGCAGGTCCTCGGGTCACCGGGTCAATTGCTGAACCGGATAATTAATTTAAAAATTTTTAAAATTATATATAGAGTATTTTTGTTATATAAATATACATAAAGGTAACAAATTAAATGTTTTGTGTATAAAATTTGTATATTAAAGTGTTAATAATATGTATTTCATGAGAAATATTTACCATATAAACATATATACATATTTTTATTTTTAAAAAATAAAAAAATAAAAAAAAAATATAAAAAATATATATGGACCGGGTCAACCTGGTTGACCCGGCCGGGTCAATGCCCCGGGTCGGCCGGGTCTCTACCGGGTCGGCCGGGTTTTGACCGGGTCCTTGGTTGCCCGGTCCAAATACTCCACCCGGACCGGTTCTGGCTCCGGGTCGACCGGGTACCGAGTCGACCCGTCGGGCCGGTCCGGGTCTCAAAACACTGGGCGCCGGTCTATGCCTCGCCTGCTGGGACTGTGTCTGCTGGGGTGGGGCGTACTCCTCTTGAGATAGAATTTGCTCCGACGACGCCCCTTGTGTGACCGACTGACCCCCAACAGTCAGAGAAGCATACAGAAGTTCCTGGGCTTGCTGGAACTGTGACTGCGCTTGGGGAGGTAGCTTATCAATGTCTTCAATGTTCGATAGCATGTTATACGACCCTTCTGTACCCGAATTCTGCAAAATAAAATTCAAATAACTATCAAATATTAAAAATAATAATAATAATAATAATAATAATAATTAATTCAATAATAATAA